TTTATCCAGGAAGATCTGTGATGTGAAGTGGATGTTTCCAGAAAGAAAGGGAGGCAAAGGGGGATTTTTAATGGGGAGAGATGTAACTAAGGAGAGGTTCCCTGCAGAGACGTGCTGGGCCAGCTCCAAGGAAGAGAATCCCTGGCCTTGGCCAAACCTGAACAAACCATGGAGCCCTTCCATACTGGGGAGGGGACAGAGGGCAGAGAAGCAGCAGAGAGAGAGAGGGAGCTGAAGGTGGAGGACAAGCAATGACAAAGAAAAGGGTGCAAGAGTCACAGGCTGAAAAGTGAATGGAGAATTCACTGAAGGAGGGCACCCAACAGAAACCTCCAGTACAGGGGAAGCGGATCCACAAAAGAAGCAGCAGATGCAACCCCCACCTCTGATCCTTGATTTCTCCCCCTCCAGCTCCAGCAGGATGGCAGGGGATGTGCTGTGATGTGGGGTCTTGGAGGATCATCTGAAGAGGGGAGAAGCAAAGCCAGGAGCCAGGCAGGAGAACCTGGGTGATCCAGGGTGGCACCCACAGGGACTGCTCTCCTTGGCAGGGCATCCACAGCAGCTCCTGCTCAGTGTCTCCAACTCTCTCACCCTCCAAGGAGGCTTTCCTTCCTCCCCTGCTCAAACCAGGCTTTTCCCTGCTCAGATCCCACTGTTGGATGGGTCAGGAATGACCACAGGTGCCTGTCTCTCTGGGCAGGGGGAGCTGGGCTGTTTCACTTGCCTCCACTGTTGAACAGCTTGAAAGAAAACTCTGGAGCTTGAGGGATGGATGGTCAGTGCTCCTACAGAGCTGAGGGACCCAGCCTCACCCTGAGCAAGTCCTCACTCCAGAACCCTGGAGGATTTTGGGAACTCCTGCAATCTGAACTTTATTTCCCTCTACTTCAGAGAATGGCCAACATGAAACCCACAGCCCTGAACCTTGGCCACCTCACATGAGAGCTGGACTGTATTTCACTAAAAGTTGGGATTTTCCTATGATCCCAGTGCTCCTGGGATTCCAGACACAGAAGCTGGCACTTTAGAGGAAAAAAGAACCATCAGAGAGCTCACAAACCCATCCCTTCCTGGAGACCAGAGCCCGGGTGGGGCCAAGCAAGAAGCACTGATGCACCAACCTGTCCCTTCCCTGGCTCCCTACAGCTCACAAGGCTCTGCATGGGCCAGGAATGCAGCCAGGGACCCTCCAGCTCCAGCCTGGCCCTTCTCCCACATTCCTGGGCTGCTCTGCAGAGGGACAGAAATCCCTGCCCGTGCCAAAGACCTTTTCACTCGTGGCAGACCAAGCCACGAATGGTTTGAATGTCTGCATCTAAACTGTCCCCAAGACATAAAGAACAAATTCATCTTCAGAGTTGGGCCAGCACTCCAAACCAAACCTTGCACTTGATCCCTGCCTGGATCTTGTCCTGGAGCCCTCAACACTCAGTGCCTGCTCTGGGGCCCCTCTGGGATTCCCTGCACTCCTCCAGCCCAGCCCTGAGTTCCTCCATTGCACCAAGAGCTTTTTGCCCATTTTAGAAGCTTGTTCCCAGTCTCCTTTCCTGCATTTTAACCCTTGAGGAAGCTCTGACACATCCATTTGGACTCATGGTCAGCTTGCCACCCAGCCAGCAGGTCACAAGACTGAGCCAGCGATGCAGAGGGACAAATCTCAGAAACCTCTCTGGAGCAGCGGAAGGGAAGGACAGGCATCTTCATACCCAGCACTCCTAAGGTTCTCTGGGTCAGGAAAGAAGGTTTGAGGTAAGAATACTTCCACAGAGAGCTTCCACATCCAACAGATGATGGGTCACTCAGTCAATCTCTCTTATTTGTGCTTTTCCAGTTGTTTGAGGCACTGATGTCCCACTGCACCCCTGAGCCCTGGGGATGCTTTGGGATACACAAGAAATTGGGAGGAGGAAGAAGTGGTTTCCTCTGACATGGGAAGCCCTCTGGCTCCACACAGAAATCTTTCCCCAGAAAGAGCGAAAATGGAAAATCAATGATGCTTGATGGAGTGTTTGGGCTTTTAAGAGATGTAGAATGTGTCAGTCCCAAGAATACGATCAAATAAAAGGATTTCTGCAGGAATCCTGTTATACACCCTGTGCCCCCAGGCATCTGTGACCCAGAGAAACTGGAAGAGGTATTTTTCTGTCAAGATTAGTCTTTTAAAAGTTTGTCCAGTCACCTTTTGGATCCCAGAATGTTTTGGGTTGGAAAGGACCTCAAAGCTCACCCATTCCCACCCCCTGCCATGGCAGGGACACCTTCCACTGTCCCAGGCTGTTCCCAGCCCCATCCAGCCTGGCCTTGGGCACTGCCAGGGATCCAGGGGCAGCCACAGCTGCTCTGGGCAATCTGTGCTGGGGTCTCCCCTCTCTCACAGGAAGAATTTCTTCCTAAAATCCAATCTAAAGTTATCCTCCTTTAGCTTAAAGTCACCTCTCCTTTTCCTATCAATCCATCCATGTTCCAGCCATGAGTTCCACCCTCCAAACACTGTGCTCTGTGCCAAGGAATATTCTGCTTCCCCTGCCTTCGAGCTGTTACTGTCAGAAACAGTGACTGCTGCTTTCTCACCTTTCTCACATCTTTCCTGATTTAAGGGCATGAAATTTTTATCATTGGGGTTTACCTCTGCCAGAACCAAGAATCAAAATTTATTTATCTTTTATACCTTCCACAGACTTCTGGCTGTTACAGAAGCCCTGGTCTGGCTGCACCTATCTGTATATTTATTGCACCTATCTGTATATTTATTTCTTCATTTCTGTGTATCCCTTTTTGAGAGCAGGAGAACAAAAGCATCTCCAGCATTTGCAGAGCCAGCACATCAAAAATTCACTGGCTCGTGACCTTGTGTGAAGGCTCCTGAATGCCAATATTTGATGGCAATCAGAGATTTCACATTTATTCTCCACCAGCAAAGGCCAAGCCAGGCTGTGGGTTTGCCACACCATCTGTCCCAGACTGGTGATTTTACCAACCTCCAACTCCCAACCCAGCCCACCCAGCCTGGAGTCAGTGAGCTGGAAGTGCAGACCAAAGGCAATTTGGGGAAAAGGGGATCTGAGTGCCAGCTTCATCCTCAGGTAGAGCAACACACTTCTCCCAGTCCTCCTGGAATCCTGGGGTGGTTTGGGTTGGAAAGGACCTTAAAGATCATCTTGTTCCAACTCCCTGCCATGGACACGACTCCTCCTTGAACCCCTTCCATTAGTTTTTCATAACACAGCTGTTAGGCTCTTAAAGACAAAATTTACTCCTTCCCTCCCAGACTTAGTTGGAATAACCAAAGGATATGGCACAACGTCTGAGCAAGAGCTCCAGACCGACCCCAGAGGTAGAAGTTGAAGCTACAGTTGAGGCAAGTGAAGAATTCCTGAAGTTTACTGGAACAAAAGAGCTGGAAATGGATCAACCAAGTGTTTGTTGTTCTTTTTTTCATGAAGGCAAAACGGAGTTCCTGATAAAAAATGAGGCACACAAGGCTGAGTGTGGTTTGTTTGCAGGGCTGGCAATGGGGGCACAGGGATGGCCCAAGGAATCAGACAGGGAGACACAGTGGCACTGCTGCTGCACTCCTGCAGAGCTCACACAGGAATTTCTTGCAGAATTTTAAAAGGAGAAAAAAAGGGAAAGATACTGCTGAATAGGTTTTAAGACAGCAGGAATGCAGATTCAGGAAAAGATTTGTGGGGAGAGAGGACTTCTTGCTTCCAGTCCCAAATTTCTGCAAATAACATTTGTCAGTGGAGTTGGCAGGAGTTTACACAGGGACAGCAAGGAGGTAAATTCCAGGAAATATTTGGAGAGTGCAGGGAGTTTTCTAGGAGAGCAGTGGAAGATTGGAACACATATGGAAGCAAACACAGGCCAAGGTTGTGTCCTGGGAAGGGCAAAGAATTACAAGAAGAAAAGACATCCTGAACAAGTTTCAATAAAAAAAGCCAAAACGTGACTGTAGATAAAAAAAAGTTGAATCCTGTATGTGAAGAACTTGCAAATATGTAACATTTTTGAGGATGGAAAAAGACCTACATTAAATCAGCCTCGAGTTAGACATGCAGGAAAGAAGATGATTTACATTAAAACAATAAACTCCACTAAACCAAACCAGACAGCAGTGACACTTCCAGGACTCTGTTGTACATCCAAGGCAGTCCCAGATTTATTGCATCATCAGAGGATACAACTGTTAACGATGCAGCAGAGTTCAAGCCCTGACTCCGGGGTTTATATAAATCAGCCTGGCAAATATAACAAGAAGTTTCCTCAGCTGCTCAAACCCTCCAAGAGGTTCTCTCTACAGGCCACTGCTAATCCACAGCCTGGGTGAGGATTCCTGGGAAAGAACCTTTCCTTCAACCCAAATTCCAAGGACAGCTCCAGGGAGTGTGGGAAAAGCCCTGCAGTGCAGCCAGAGGCTGGTGCTGATGAAGGTCCCTCAGCTCAGCTCAGCTCAGCTCAGGCCAGGAGGGAGCTGCTCTGGGTAGGGCTCACCAGCCAGGGCACAGAGCAGGATCCTGGGTTGGGGAAGGGTGACAGGAGCCAGCAGTCCCTGTGGGCTCATCTGGCAAGGCAGAGCTCACAGGGATGGAGCTCTGCTGTGTCCCTGCCCTGCCCTGCCCGTGGCTCTCCCTCCCCATGAGCTGACCCTGCTGTCCAACTGCAGTGGAGCCATGGGATGGGTCCCAGCCCACCCTGGGATCAGAGCACTACAGGAACCCTGCAGCAGTGAGGAGCCCTGGGACAGCCACGTTTATCTGGGGCAATGGAAGCCCCAACACGGGTTGCTGTCTTTGGGAGCTGCTGCTTGGCAGTGAGGATGCTATGGAGAGGAGAAGCTCCTCAGCTGCTGAAAAGCTCAAATCCCCACTAATTCATGAAAGGCAGTTCTGAGGGTTTACTGGGGAGGAGAGCAGGTCCTTTAGGGAGGGGATGTGCAGCTCAGTGCCCTGCACAGTGCCCTGCTTTGTGTCCCTACAGCCACTAGGACAAGTGACTCCTCATGGCACTGCTCTGTCTTACAGGGCTGTTTTTCCTCTCTCCTTCACAGCCCTGGACTGTAACTCCAGCAAATGGGCTGGTGGCAACAGCTGGAAATGACCCACAAAAGATATTTCAACTTTTTACTGTCCACATATGCTTTGCTTTCTCTGCTCTGCCCTGTGATGCTCTGCAAGATTTGAACTTATCACTGTCCAACCAACTGAGAACTTCCAAGTTGCTCAGCATTCCCACTGAATGCCGTCCACAGGCTGATCCTCAGCAGGAAATGGGAAGGGGAGAAGGGAAGGGCTGGGAGGTAGCTTGAAAGGTACAGGGGAAATGTGAAAATTGCAACAAGCTGCCTGAAAATCTCCATGTGATGATTTTTGTTACGTACCCACACATGCACACATGCACATGCACAACAGCATTTCACAGTGTCAATGTTAGCAAGTGCCTTTTCCCCCTGGAACACGCCCAGTTTTCCATCAGACTCCCATTTGGTAGCAGTACATTGGAGACCCATGAAATAAAAATGTCATTGTCACTCCAGTGCTCTGCCCTCACCCTGCAGCATGTGCCAGAGGCATTTACAACCACAGCACTTGACAGGAACTCGGTTCCTTGTGCTCCCAAGAGAGCTGAAGATGCAGAAAACTGCAGTGTTTTCTGGACCATGCCTGTTTTAGCCCAGCTCTCCATTAGTCCTACACAGCCAAACACCGATGTCACAGCTGTGTCTGGTACACACAGATGGGAAGGTGGTGTTACTTTTAGTGCCACCACCACCACGTGAGTTTTTGGTCAGAAGAAGAGACAAGGATGTGCTTTCTCTGTCCTGCAGATGGCTGCCACAGCTCTGGGGCTGTGGCACTGGGACCTGTCCTTCACAGTGGGCTGGGTCTGGCAGGTAGATGTGTCTGAAGCAGCCAGCGAGGAGATTCAGTGCATTGAGACAAAATGTCTCCAAGTGAAGAAGACCTGAAGTGCCCTTCCAAGGCCTGGGTGGCTCTGCAGAGATGCTGCCTGGGCATTGCTCCTCCTTGGTGTCTGCAGGAGTGGAGGGGGTGGCAGAGAACAGTCAGGAATTGTCTGGGGAGGACAAGTGAAAGGCACCACGTGCTCCTTGCACACGGCTGCCCCACAGGAATCTGCTGGTGGGTTTTGTGGGCAGAGCTCTCCTGGCAGAGCTGTGGGGCACGAGGTCACTCCTGGCTGTGCTGGACACTGGCACAGCACCATCCTGCCCTCACCCTGCACTGCCATCAGAGAGCTTCACATGCCTTTGGGGCAGGGACAACTGCTCCTTGTCAAAGCACAGCAGCCACAGAGTGGGACAGACACCAGGGGAAGCTCCCACACCACACTGGGACTGGGCACACCTGGGAGCTCCTGGTTTCCCTGTGTGCCCTCTGCAAACACTTCCTGTGGTTTAGCCAACTCCAGTGATTTTTTTATGTCCTTTCAAAGCTGAGCCCACCACCTGACCTGAAGCAGGTGCATCCCTTTGGATACACAGGCTAAACCAGGCTGGATTTGGGGCAGAGCTGCCCCTCCAGGTACCTCCAGCACAGCCCACTGCCCCTCTCTCCACACCACTCTGTGCCACCTGCCAGCCATGCAGGGAGATGCTGGGGCTGTGCCAGGGGCTGCCCTGTGGGCACTGAGCTCAGGACAGGACCCTGGCACCCAGCACACACCTCCTGCCAGGTTCCCATCACTACAGGCAAGCCCAGAGCTGCAAAGCCAGGGCTGGGCTGGATGCAAACATCAACACAACACTGCACTAGAGATTTTGGATTAACAGGGGCTGGAGGGACAATTGAAAAGCCTCTGCTGCTGCAGCACCTAACCCTGGGACAGGGCAAGAGCTCAGGAGAGGAGTCTCACTTGCAGGGACTGCTCTGATGCCACCCACAAGGGCTCTGTTGTTGGATCTGCTCTGGCAGCAGAAAATGCTAGAAGTATTTCATAAAGGGCCTCATATTTTACAAGCAGTCTGGGGAGATGATGTCTGGCCACAGAGGTCTAGACAGCTTGGGATTTTCATCCACAGCAGACACACTTCCTCTTGGATTCAGCTCCTGGAAAACACAGCCAGCTCCCAGTGAATGTGCCTTCAACACTCACTACTGCCAAAAACAAGAGGAGGAGCCCAGGAACCACATGGCCATGGCAGACAAGGGCTGTGAACACCAGTCCTGAGGCCATGCCCAGGAGATGGGTGGGAAAATGCCACTTGTGGAATGCTTCAAAGGATGCACGGTGGTGTTGGGCACCGAGAACAACCCAATTCTCATCTGCACCTCCCGGTGCTCAGCTGGTGGCATTCACACACCCCAAAGACCTGGTCAGTAACTAAGGAATTTTTTTTTTCAGTTATTTACAAACCCCATTGATTGATCATTCAGCTTCACCCAAAGCATTTTGCCTCTGGAGAGCTGGGATTGGAGTTTTTGCTGTCCCAGGCTCTCTGTGACGTGAGGGGCTGAGCCTGAAGCTGAATAACCCAACAAAGGGACAAGGTCCCCAAGGCACAGAGCCCACCTGCACAGCCTGGCACCAGCAGGGACCCTTCCCCACCTGCAGATAACACAATCCCCTCTCCAAAATGCTGAGCCACGAGCTCCTCTGAGAGGGCTGGGCTTGCCCTGCCTTTCCCATGCACCAATCCAACACCTTCCTCAGCAGCCAGACACTTCCAAAGGGCTCTGAAGCCACCTGTGGAGTGATCATTCCTTCACAAAACCCCTCCACCCTCCCACACTTCCCTCCCAATCCCCCTGTGATGCTGCTCACCCCCAAGTTGAGCGGGTGGCCATTTCACTTTGGCAAACACCTGGAACCCCAAGAGCCACAAACATCTGTCATGCCACGACCAGTTGGAAAGAACAAATAAGCAAACGGGAGGAAATGTGCATATAAAAAACCTTTTTCTCCTGGCATATGGTCAATAAGCTGCAATTTTTCCTTCCACAGGGAAGGGATTTAAGTTCTTGGATGATATGATGCTTGGAGATGTCATTTCTTTTTCATTAAAAAAAACCAAACCCCCAACCAACCGAAAATTTCCAACCCCAAACTCACAAACTGATGTTAACAAAACAATGTAAAAGGACAAATCTCCCAACAATGACAACCGAAAAATAAAGGTACACGTCAGCATTTGTAATCAAAAACTACTACATACTGTACTTGGGAAGTCTTCTGGGAAAAGATCATTGGCATCTAGAAAGGATATCACTAAAGTCTTGAGCAATGATATGTATGAGACACGATGCCATTGGAGGGTGGATGGACGGACCCTTAGGAAACTGTCACTCACAAAACTGTTCCATGACAAGAGAAAATAAGAGATGTAAAAAGGATTGGTTTTCCCTATCCCCACCCCCCCAGGCGTTACAGATTCCTTCTCATTTGTCGGAAACAGCCTCCTCTAGTCTTAGTTTATTTGTTGTGGTTTTGTTTTGTTTTGTTTTTTAAAAAAAAAAAGTCTTCAGCTTTTGAAGGAGTCCATCAGTTTCTGAGATGCACTTGGTTTCACAGCACCAAAGAGCTTCAGCTCTCCCCCTCTGATCTGCTCACAGGGGCTCTGGGGAAGGGCCTGGCTCACAGCATTCCCAGAGCCACGGGAGGAAGAGATGTGCTTCTCGTGGCCTTTCCTTGCATTCCTCTTCCTGGAGAAGTCCCACTGCTCCAGAGGTGCCTGGGTCCAGCTGCAGCAGCCTTGTGCAAGAGGAAACATGAAGCTGCTCTTTTCTCTTCCTTTGGAGACTCCCAATGGTCTTGGAGCCCTTTTCAAGAATGCAATTGCTTTATTATTATTTAAAAATATTTTGTAGTTTGTTTGTTTTTTGTTTTTTTTTTTTTTTTTCAAAATAGTTGTCCTTTTTTTTGTTCCCTTTTTCCATTGCTTAAATTCTAGAAGCTCTTGGCAACTTGTCATTGTTGAGGACAGGGTGTTCCCTCCTGCTGCCGTGATCCTCAGAGCAGCTGCCTGTCTCTGGTCCATGCAGAACACTCAGGAACTGGAGCTTGGACATACAGGGGCAAAGGGGAGCAGGGCCTCGAGGAGGAGGAGTGGGAGGACAGGCAGCCATCAAACCTCCACAGACTGGATTTGGTTCATCTGTGCTCTCATCACCTGGATACTGTTCAGAATTTTCTTCTGGTGTCCTGCTAAAGTGACCCCGACTCGCAGAATGTCCCTTTGAGAGGAAAGGAAGCAAAAACAAATATCAGGAGGTATTTTCTAAAAGCAGAACAAGATCATAGATGGTATTTAAAATTATTTTTAAGGTCCCTTTCAACCTAAACCATTCTGGAATTCTGTGATTCTATGATTCCCTGACTCTATGAGTCCACAAGAATGGTATTTAGAGAGCTGAAGTATCCACAGATTTCTTTCATGAACGCAACAAACAGATGCAAACCTTGTGAAATCTCTACTCTTTCACTTTTTCCTGCTTATTGTCCCACCTTTGCACTTTCTACCTACCTGCAGCACCCTCAGAGTCCTGAACCTCAACAGAGTGTGAAACAAAACACCACAGGCTCTGCTCTCTGCTTGTGAGTCAATTTGTCTTAAATTTTTTACCCATCTACTGTTTTGCATTTTGGATTTTCTCTCATTTTGTGACACACTAACCTGTTTTTTTCTAGCCCTGGAGACACAGGACAGGGATGTGCTGCCCCTCCTTAGTGCAGATCTGACCCCCATATGCAGATGATGCTGTTCTTGATGCTTTTCCTTTGAGCTGATAAGACCATGAAGTGATCAATTTTTGCACTTATCCTTTTATTAAATCATGGTGATCTCATTTTTGGACAGCTTCTATTTTTTATATATTTAGAGATCTGAGAGAAATCAAAGTCATGCCGAGAGCATGAGTGTGGCACTAAATTGGTCCTGTCTGTGTCTCCAGCTGAGTTTGCTCTCATCTCCCCCTTGGCAAATAAACCTCAGTCATGAAATCTTCAGATCTTCTTCTTCCCATCAGGGGATGGGAGGCTACATGACCCAAACCTGACTTGAAGGAATTTCAGGTGCCTTTTGTCCTTGTGTGTTAGGAACAGAGGTTTAAGGGGAAGAGTGGCAAAATCTCTGTCATGTTTAGAGTGGAGGTTATTGGGCAAAGAAGGGTAAAGGAGAGCTCCAAAGGGTGGAAAAAATTCTTCACTCATGTCTGTAAACCAGAATAAGACTGCAGCTCTGCAGCCCAGTGATTCCAAGCCTTCTGCCCTGGACATTAAATATTTGATTGGATATTGGGAAGGAATTCTTTGCTCAGAGGGTGGTGAGGCCCTGGCTCAGGTTGCCCAGAGAAGCTGTGGCTGGCCCTTCCCTGGAAGTGCCCAAGGCCAGGCTGGATGGGGTTTGGAGCAAGCTGGGATACTGGAAAGTGTCTTAAAGCCACGGCTTTAAAAGGAGCTTTAAGGTCCCATCCAACTCAAATGGTTCTGTGACTCTTGAAAGGTAATTAGGTGTCCCAGGTGTCCCAGCCTGCAGACAAACCAGTGAGAACCCTTTCCAGCAGGTCAGTGTTGAGATCATGTGGATTTGGGGAACTGAGTCAGTTTTCAGGACACATTCACACTTTGCTGGCTCTCCAAATGTGGATGAACCAGCAGCTCCACTGACATTCCTATCAGCTTCTGCAAAGGCCAGTGAGCATCAGGGAGTGGTGTCAAGTCCTGTTACACCACAATTTTCCAAGGAAAAGGACTGAACTCTCTATTGTACATTCAGCCAAGCACGTGAGGAATGTGGAATGGAAGTTTGCCAAAACCAATGGGACATGAGCTGAGGATGCCCTTGGAACTGTGGTGAAGGCTCTTGGAGAGGACTTGAGGGACATGGTGAGGGACTGGGAGAATTGGCATTTAAGGGACACTGAGGATGTCTGTGAAAGAGCAGCCAGCATTAGCTGGACTGTCTGCATCCTGCCTGCTGTCAGATATTGCAAAGAGCAGAACCCAGGCAGGGGTGGGTTGTGGTCTGATACCTCTCTTTGATCAAAGTTCTTCCCTATCCTTCAGATTTTGTGGATTCTCTCTCTTTGTGTTGTATAAACCCAGGCAATACTGTGACAAAATCATCCCCAGGGCCTGGGGATTGCACCACAGATGTCCCCAAACAGTCAGAACTGCCATGGGAACTTCCCAGCAGCAAACAAGAACAAAAAGCCAGAGAAAGTCACAGTGGCTGTTTGAGTGAATGGATTCTGACTCACTGGTAGATTTAAGCGTTTGGATTCAAGCACAAATCCAAAAACCTCCCTGGCCACCAGGCTCAGAGACATTGCAGCCCTTACAGATGGCTCTAATGCTTGGCCCTTTCTGAGGGCTTCTAGAGGTACCTGCAGCCAGCCCCAAATCTTTCAGCAGAGGCATCAAAGTCCCTGCCAGCCCCAAGGGATTTCAAAACCCTCCAGAAGTGGGATTTCAGCTGTCTGATTTCTCTGAAGAACTTGCTAAGGATCAGGTGCTGATTGTCACTTGTCAATTGTCACTGCAGGATAACTTCTGTAGATGCAAGACATTTGTAGTGGATGCAGCACAGAATGAAACCACTCCCCACAAGGGGATCTTATCGAGATGTGTGAGGAGATGTGGTGGAGGCTGGAGCCAGGCTCTGCTCCATGTGGCAGAGCAACAGGAGGAGAGGCAATGGGAAGAAATGAATGCCCAGAAAGATCCACCAGAACATGAGGAAGAACTTCTTTACTGTGGGGGTGGAACAGACTTCCCAGAGAGGGTGTGAAATCTCATTCCACAGAAGTAATCCTGAATGAGGAGCTCTAGAAGCTGAGCAGGAAGGTTGGACTGGATGACCTCCAGTGGTTCCTTCCAACTGTAACCACTCGGTGATTCTGCCTTTCTTAGGCAGGACTATGCACCATGCTTGTCCTCATCAATACATCAGCCATCCAAGAGGAGTGCAGAGTTCAGAGGTGCTCTGGAGAATTGTCTGATGCCAGCCTGAAATCTCAGTTTGTCCCATGAAGGGGTTTGGACACCCTTGGCAGGGGTGTTCATTTTCACAGAGTGGTAGTGGGCAGAGGAATTCTGCAGGTGCAGAGTGACAGACATATGGTCTGGAGACTGAATAGATTAGAAGTGGCTCCACAAAGCAACAGTTCTATAAAAGTATAACTACATCATATGAAAATAAAATCTAATTCAATACCAATTGTTGCAAAACTGCTGGGACTTTTCCTTGTGCTTTGGGATTCAAAGCCTGGGCACTTACTCTACAGTCATCTGAGATACTACATCAAAGGTGGTGAAACCAGCACTGGCAAAGCTCTCCTTGTACTGGCTCATCTTGATGGCATCCAGCCATTCATCCACAGTGTTGAAGCTGGTGTAATCCGGGATTGTGCGGTCAAGGAGGGGGAGGTTCATCCTGAAACACAGAAATGGGCAGTGACAGCCAAGTTGTGCAAGCACAACTGTTCCTGACCCTCCAGCAGCTGAGGCACAGCATCAGCATCACTCACAGTGCAGACATTGCCCTGTAGTGTGGAATTCCACCCAGAAATCACTGTTCTGCCACGGAAGAACTGTGCAGAGCATTAGGGAAGCCCTTCTGGACCAGCTCCTGCAGGAGAGGCAGGAGCCCTCAGAGATGATGGGATGCAGCTTTGAATCCTGGCTGCTCACGGGGAGATAGCTCATTCTTGTACAGGGGCAGTGTTTCCCACAATCTGGTGCAACCCACCCAGCCCAGGGAAACTCCACATTGCCTTTATCTGCTCCCAATGCAGTGGGACTGGAATACCAGAACAATCCCACCACCCCAGCACCCCCATGTACATGAAACCAAGGTGCTCCTCTACGTGCAGAGTGCACTGTCCAAGAGCCCACCAGAGTTGCCCAAGGAGAGGAACCTTGACATCTGTATCCCTGTTCATGCCCCAAGCCTGGAAGTGTCCAAGGCCAGCTTGGATGGGGCTTGCAGCAACCTGGGATAGTGGAAGCTGAGCTTGCCCATGGCAGGGGTTGAATGAGGTGGGCTTTAAGGTCTCTTCCACCCAAAATTGTGATTCTATGATCTTTTAATGCTCTCCCTATAACGGATCAAACACAGGCCAAGCTCTAAAGAAGCTCCTGAGAGGTGCAGGGATGGTGCCACCAGGACCCAGAGGACACCAGACCTGTTCAGAGGAGCCAAAGGACAGAGACACATACCCAGAGGAGAGAGGTGCCATGGCTTTCAGGCTGTTTGGATTTCGGATCATTTTATCCAAGGTGTTGACAATTTGCCCAAATTTGGGCCTGTGGTTCCGATCCTTCTGCCAGCAGTCCAGCATCAGCTGGTGAAGGGCATTTGGGCAGTCCATGGGTGGGGGCAGCCGATAGTCCTGCTCAATGGCATTTATCACCTGCAGGAAGAGACAGAGGCATCAGTACAGCTGTGATAAAACCTATTTAATTCATAAAGTGCCTTTTCTTGGATCCTGAGGGTGACTGACATGACTGATCCTGCAGCCTGTGCTCACTGCTGCCTTCCCATCTTGTCCCCACCTCACACTGTAACTTCCAGCCCTCAGCAGGTCAGGAGAGGTGTGAGGTGTGCTGGGAGGTGCCACCAGCTTTGCTCAGCCCTCCAGCCTGGGTGGCTGATTGTCAGGAGCAGTCTCCTGATCTGGGGAAAGGAGCACCCCTGTTGCCCTGACAGGATGTGAGATCCCACAGTTACAGGCAAGGGAGTCAGAGATGGGATCATGCTTTCCTTGGACACAGCACAACAGCTTGCTGGGAAAACATCTCCATCCAAAGAAGGGGGGTGAGTTACAGACAGGGAGCCTGTCTCTGTGTTTTCCATCCCCCAGTGGTGTTTTGTGCTCCTGACACAAACCAGCTTGTCCAGGTGACAGGGTTGTGCCAGGCGTGGGTGGCTCAGTCAGCAGAAACTGCTGGATCTTTCTGCAGGCCTGTGCAAGTGCAAAACAGCACGGGGAGGACTCAGACCCCAGCCAGCACTGCCAGCCCAGGAGAACTCGTTGCAGTGTGCACAGAAGAGCTGCAGCACACCTTCCCAAAGCTACACTGCACCTCCAGGCACATCCAAAAAGGCTTTGGTCAATCCTTACTGCTCCACACAGTCTGGGAAAATGTCTGGTCTTGCAATGTCCATAAGGGCTGGAGCAAGGGCTGTAGGATCTTCTGGAATGGAACAAGGGCTGGAGAATCTTCTCCAAGGGGAAGTCCACCACCCTGCCACTCTGCACCTTCAGCCCTCAGTCCTCTCCTGGGTGACAAACGAGGATGAAGCTGCTCCACTTCTTCCAGGAACATCTGTTCCTCTGACAGGGGCATGCACAGGCAGGATTCTCCTGCCTCCTTGGCCATGCACAGCACAGGCACTGAAGGATGAGCAGAAGGAGCCTTGAACACCAGAGATGGGCTCGTGCATGGCAACAAAACCCAGAAGGACAAAAACCAGAACTGAGGGTACTGCAGAAATCAGCAGCAGATCTCAAAATGACAAAGTCTCCAAGGGAATGATGAACAAGGGAAGGAAGAGTACCAGAACCTCCCTCAGGGATCCTGAGGAAGAACCTCCATGTCTCTGGCTATTCTCACCATAGGATCAAGGCTGCCATGGCTTTATCCAGCCATGTCTTGCACAATTCCAAAGAGAGATCTTCCTGGTGGGATTCCCTAGGGCTGTGCCCCCATCCTGGTGAAGTCTAGACATACTCGTGGTGGTGGACACATTGTTGAGTGGGGAGACTACACAGAGAAAAATAAGGATACTGGGAATGGGAGTGGGAGAGAAGTAGGGAAGAGCTGGTGGCTGATCCATGCCAAACAATCCAGAGTGTGAGATGGGCATCTGGCAGGGCTTGAGGTGGTCTGTGACTCCAGGCAGAGAATGGACTGGGAGGTGCTGCAGGCACTGCTGTGTGTGGCCAAGGTGCTGGGCAGGCTGACCTGAGACATGGGGCTGGTGCTGCTGCTGCCAAAATTTGCCAGATGGAAGAGCCCTCCCCCAGTTCTGCTGCCCTGGCTGAACATGGTGGTGGCCCCATGGGGCCTGTGAAGGTCTGACCAGAGATAACTCCTTTACAAATCACTGACAGGAGGGTGGAGCTGGGGAGTGCTGGTCTCCTCTCCCAGGTAACAAGTGGCAGGACTAGAGTAAATGGCCTCAAGTTGTACCAGGGGAAGTTTGGATTTGACAGGAGGGAAAGTGTTGTCAAGCATTGAAACAGGCTGTGCCGGGAAATGGAGTCACCATCCCTGGGAGGCTTCAAAAGGTGTGTGGATGTGGCACTTGGGGACATGTTTAGGGTGAATGTGGCAGTGCTACATTGATGGTTGGACCCAATGATCTCAGAGCCTTTTCCAGCCTCAAGGATTCCATGGCTACTGATGTGCTTTGTGCAGCTTAGGGAACCTCCCAAGGGCTGCTGAACCCCAGCCCAGCTCTGTGGGTTCAGGTCTGCCCCGGCCAGTGCCAGGGGAGGCACAGGGTGGGCACCAGCACCATGCAAACGCCAAGCACTCCTGTCTGTTCCCAGCGAGTCCTGCTGCCATCAGCCTCATCCAGAGGCAGCCCCAGCTCTCTCCATGTCAGCCTCATCCAGAGGCAGCCCCAGCTCTCTCCATGTCCTCCCCAGCCGCCGCCCCAGGCGCTCACACCCCAAGGTCAGGAGGGTAATCTGCCCTCAATATCCGCCACGCTCCTCCACAGCAGGACCAGCTGTGCTTAAGTGGTGACAGCTTCTGGGGCACCGTGTCCTGCGGCATGGAAAGGGAGCAGGGGCTGGGGACAGCGACGCGCAGCGGGAAGTGCCAGGGATGGCAGAGCTGTGCCATCCACAGCACAGTGAGCAGTGCCAGGGACAGGCACAGCTCTGCCTGGCACAGCGAGCGGTGCTGCCGCAGCAACGCAGCCGTAGCAGGAGAAACCTCCAAGGGAAGAGCTCCCAGAGAAGGACAAGGGACAGGGGAGGTACAGGACCATCTGATGCAGGACATGCTTGAAACTGAGGTGACAACAATGGCTTAGCAGGAAGCGAATTGTCCTTGCTGAGAAAGGCAGACCCCTAAGTCCCATCCCTCTGCCTCCAAGAACTGATGGAAACATTTTCCTGGTGTAGCAGAGGCTGTGAACAGCCAAAGGCTCTAAGGCATCATCCCCCTGCTCCAGGCTTAGGAATTCATATTAATAAATTTCCCACCAGGCATTAGGGAGGAAATATGCCCACTCTGGAGAAACCTGATGTGGCACAGGTGGAGATCTATTGAGATGGAAAAGGTCTGATCTGCCATAGGGACAGGAGCAGGGACAGGAGTCAGGGAAGGGACAGGAGGGACAGGGAGCTTGGCTCTCGCTCTCTCCCTGTAAGGCCAGGCCTTAGGAGCCCACAGCATGGTGGAGATGAAGTGCATGTCTGAAGGCTTCCAAGGGACTCCCCAGAGCTGTTCTGAGACACACTGGAAGCCAGGCAGATACTGCAAGAGCCAGGACAAGCTTTCTGCATCCCCTAGGTCCACCCAAGACCTTGGTGTTACATCCTGAGTATTCATGATGTGAGGAAGGGCAGGTGTTCTGAGAGACAGAGTTAAAAGCGGCCTTCTGACACACACATGCAGGTGCAGCATCCTCACAGCACTCACTGCCACTGGCCAGATGGGCTTTGAGTCCCAGGTACCACACCAAGAGGACCAGGGAGCATGGAAATGACATTGCTGTGCTGAGGGCAGGGACTGCAGCCAGGGGCCATCCTTGCAGGAAAAACATCCCTGGAGCAAGGAGTGCATGTAACTGTTTGACCTGAATTAGAGCAGAGGAATGAAATATTTAAAACTGAGCATGTTATAAAGTACCTTGTGCTTTTGGTTTCTAGCTATGTCTAAGTTACTTGTGGTTCTTAACAGACCACAGTGCAAGCTTCCCATGGGAGATTTCATGACCATCTAGCAGATGTCCTTAACCATGGCAGAGGGTTGGATCTTTAAAGGTCTCTTCCAACCCAAAGCCATTGTGTGGCTTTTTAACAGACTTTCCTGGAGTGTCTGTGATCCCAGCAGATGAAGCTCTGCTCCAGAGGCTCTCAGCTCAGGAACATCTCCTTTTTCACCCACCTGCTCCTTCCCTTCCTCAGCACCTGCCAACACCCCTGGGGTGCTCCCCTTAACCCTGTGCAGTGGGTGCTGTGCCATCCTCAATCTCTGCCACAGCAGCACCACAGGGCCAGAATAAATCCCAAAATTATTCCCATTACTGCTTCCAAAGGTGTTGACCTTGGACACATCTGCCCCAACAGAGAAGGCTCTGGACACGCCACAGGCTGGGACAGGCTGTGGACATGCTTTGGCCCTGCAATGCTCCCCACTGCAGTGTTCCTGCCCCTGGCTTCCCAAGAACTCACATCCTGGTTGGTCATGTCCCAGTAGGGCCGCTCTCCATAGGACATCACCTCCCACATGACAATTCCATAGCTCCACACGTCACTGGCTGAGGTGAACTTTCGGTACTGGATGGCCTCAGGTGCCGTCCATCGGATCGGGATCTTCCCACCCTGCAGGGCAAAAACAGGATGGTAACAGAGAGAGCAGGAGCAACTGAAAAATAGCAGTGTCCACGATATTTGCCTGGGATATTCTAGTAGAATCCCAGAAGGAAGGAAGCACAGGACTGTCTGTCCCTCAGGGTGGATGTGGATTGTCCAGCCATGCTGGAAGCCTTCAAGATGATGATGATTCTCCCCATTTGGTGACTTGTCCCACCACCCTCCTAAGGAAGGAGCTTTTGCTGTTGCTCACCTTGAATGTCCCCAGCCATGTTTTTGTCTATGACCCCTTTATTGTATCATCTGGTGCCACTGCAAAGAGTTTGGCTCTGTCTCTTCATTACTGCCCTGAAGGTCACTCAGAGGTTCCCCTCAGTCTCCCTGTCACCACCTTAACCAAGGCCAGCTCCTTCCCCTGCCTCCTGCTCCTGCATGGCAAAATGCCCATGTGCTAAGAGGGTCTTTGGCAGAAAGTGAATGGCTAGGAATGTAAAAACCCCAAACTGGTCTCCCTCTATCCTTTTGCTGTCACCTGGCTACCTGCAGAGCAGAATAAAGGGAATTAGAACACCTTCCTCTTCAGCCATGTACAGCTTCCACTCTTTGAAGTCAGCAAGAGACCATTTCTGGCCTGAGTCCTGGTGTCCCAGTCTGTCTGTGGATCTACACCTGATCCAGCAGATTCTGATCCTTCAGTATGGTCAGGGGAGTCACTGGTGGGGAATGAGATAAGTCTGGGTGGGCACTGGGGTCTCTGTCATCCAGCTCTGGAGCAATCAGGATTCTCCACTCCCTCTGAGGAGTTAAGTACAGGAGTGGCACACACAGATGGGGACACAGGGATTGAAGGCTCTGCTTAAGCCCTTCCTGCCTCCTGATTTTCTACCAGGGGCTTTGGACTTGAGCCATTCACTCAAGGGACCTTCTGAAGGGAAAATCTTCCCCTGTGCTGAAAAAATAAGCAGAAGTGTCTGTGTTTTGTGGCTGGGAGAAGATTAAAAAACATTCTATTTTGTCAATGAACAACTGTCATGTCTTATTAAGGGTCTCTCAGGACTTCATAAGACTCAGCCCCAGTTCATGTCAGAATAATGAAAAAAGATAATGTTTCTTAATCTTTTCACAGCCACAAACCTCAGACAAAATATTGTTTTCCACAAAAGGGGAAGACGAAGCAATCCATACCAAACAGGATGTCCTCTCCATCAGGCAGACTCCTGACAAAACTCCTGGCAATCAGTGGATTTTAAAAATGGCTAAGAAGAAGTCCTAAAGTAGAAACTTGACTTTGGAGGATTCTTGTGGGAACTCACTTCAGCAAGACCTCCCATCTCCATGGGGTCTGATCTGGAGCTTCACCACTCCAAAGACTTTCCTAAGGTCCACCATGAACCTCCCAGGCCAGAACTTGTGACTTCTGCTTACCCATGGACACAAGGTCACTGGGAGAATGATGACAAAAACCATTTTGCAGAGGAAGATACTTCTGATACAGTAGGTGCACATAATCTGTCATTAGGGATAATAAATATCCTGCTACAGTGCCCACAGTTTAAGGAGAATAAATTAGGGATGACGAATTTATTATTAGAGAGAAAAGCTACAGGCATAACACCAGGGATAGAGAACAGCAGTAAACATCATGTATTTAGTTAACAAAGGGAAATTTAATTGGCTGTAAGGGATATATGAAAAATAAATGTTATTAGTGTTTGCAAAAACCATTGATGGCTGAGTTGATGTCTGAAGCTACACAGATGAGAATAAACCCACACATTTTTAGGTGTTTGTTAGGTATTTAGCTACTGATAAAATTTACTAAGAGCTATGCCAGACATCTCATCACTGCCAGCTTGAAAAGACCCAGGAGAGGTGATTTCCTACAGGTCATGCCCCAGCTCTATCAACACTGATTTCCAAGGATTCCTGACGTGGGCATTGATCCTGATGCACTGTGCAGAGCATTTCTGTGTGGTGTTTATGAGAACTCCTGGCTGAGCTCTCACTGAGCAAAACCAAATAATCCTCTGGTCCTGGGGCACCTTCTGCAGCCTGACATGAGCCACAAGTTCTCGGTGGCACTTGTGTCTGTGGCACCAAGGTGTTCCTGGGAAGTTGTTACATGAACATGAAGTCATTTTTAGGAGTGTTTTTCTGTTTAAATTGGATACTCTCTGGAAGATCAGTATCTAGTATCTGGCACCCACCCACACTTCCTACACTTTCAGTCTATCCTTCTTAGGGCTGAGCCAGTGAGATGACATGAGGAAGGACAGCAGGGCAGCATGACTGGACAGTGATGGTAAGAAACTCAGACTTGCTGCCCTGGCAACAAATCTGTCAGGGCAGGTCACATCTCAAAGGATCCCAGGTGAATCATATGGGGAGGTGCAGAGCATGATCCCAGCCAAGGGCTCTTCAGGGACATGTGTGTGTTTGCAGATATGTTTGGAGGAAGGCTCAAGAGGAATGACAGGATCTTGCAAGGGAAAATCTTCTTCAGTTTATTTCGTTGCTCTTTCTCATCTGGGACCTTTCCACTGCTGACACCCTGAAAAAGTGCTCCCTGCTGTCAAGGGGGGGTCCCTCCTTCCCTCTCCCACTCGTTCCTGCACCCCTGGCCCTCCCTGGCTGAGGAGCAGCATTACCAGAGCACTGGTGTAGGTGGGGTCGGAGGTGTCGTCCTCCAGGAAGCGGGAAAGGCCGAAGTCAGACACCTTGCACACCAGGTTGCTGTTGACCAGGATGTTGCGGGCGGCCAGGTCCCGGTGCACGTAGTTCATGTCCGCCAGGTACTTCATGCCCGCGGCGATGCCCCGCAGCATGCCCACCAGCTGGATCACCGTGAACTGCCCGTCGTTTTGCTGAGGGACACACGGACACAGGTCTCAGGAGTGGATTCACAGCCCAGGCAAAAGCCAGGAGCCTCTTTCCACACCCATGGCAGGATATGCCATGAGTACATTCCCTCCCAGGGAGGGTGGGGAGTGCAGAGCTCACAGGGGGTGGGAGTCACCTCACACATCCCAAGGGCACCACTACGGCAGCTGCTGTCACCTCAAAATGCACCCACTCTGCACAGCAGAGCTCAGAAGGGACAATCTATTCCCATTGACCAGGTTACTTCCCTTCAACAGAGTCAATTACCCACTTCAAACCCAGAACTAGAACTATTTAGACAGAGCAGCTGGAAGTGGGGTCCTGCTGGGTTAAAGCTGTGTCAGACTGTCCCTCCATGGGTGTCCATGGGTCAGTCTGGATGTGCACCTGTGGGCAGGCAGGCACAGCCTCTCGCTAGGATGAGTGGACAGACACATAAGAAATGACAGCCCTGGTGCTGCCACCCCCAGCTTTGTCCCCAAAACACAGACCCCTGCACAATGCAGCAGCTGCCTCAGTGACAGGGAAAGCCAGGCTGGGAAGGCCACTGCAAAGGGAACCTTCCCCCCCAATCCCCTCTGTGCTAGCACAGCCTCTAAAGCTGCACACTGCCAGATCTCATACCCGCAGGAAGGAGTCCAGTGAGCCATTCTCCATGAACTCAGTGATGATCATGACTGGAGAGCTCTTGGTGACCACCCCCTCCAGGTGGATGACATTGGGGTGGTCGAACTGCCCCATGATGCTGGCCTCACTCAGGAAGTCCCGTCTCTGCTTCTCCGTGTAGCCAGACTTGAGTGTCTTGATGGCCACAAAGATCTCCCTTTTGCCTGGAAGCTTGAGATGCCCACTGCACACCTCACCAAACTCCCCTGTGAACACAAGGTATGACCTATGAGCCTTCTCCACCTCTGCTGTGCCCCCTGAGAGACCCCTGGCCCCAGCTGTATCTGCCCTGCCTGTCCCTGAGCTGAGCACTCACTCCTGTCCCTGAGATGAGCATCTACTCCCTGTCCCTGAGCTGAGCACCCACCCCTGTCCCTGAGCTGAGCACCCATCCCTGTCCCTGAGCTGAGCACCCACTCCTGTCCCTGAGATGAGCATCTACTCCCTGTCCCTGAGCTGAGCACCCACCCCTGTCCCTGAGCTGAGCACCCATCCCTGTCCCTGAGATGAGCACCCACCCCTGTCCCTAAGCTGAGCACCCACCCCTGTCCCTGAGCTGAGCACCCACCCCTGTCCCTGAGCTGAGCACCCACCTCCTGACCCACATTCCCTCCTTCTCCACCCCTCCAGCTGCACTCATCCCTGAGGAGCACTGCCCATGGGCTCACAAGCACATGGAAACTGATGGTTTTGATTCTCCTGCACTGGACTCCCCTGCTCCTTTAGTGCAGCCTGGGGCTAAGTAAGGTCTTAGTGGCATCAGGCTAAACCCTCCCAAATCCATGTGCTGCTGTGCTGCTGAGGGCCAGCCAGCCACTCACAGGTCACCTACCTGCCCCAATCACCTGCTCGATTTTGACACAAGAGATATCGATTTCTTTTGCAAATTCCCTGACAGCCTCATTGGGATCTTCATAGGTGAAAGGATCAATATAAATCTTCATCCCTGGAGTCACTGCAGAAAGATGAGGGAGAGAGTCAGACAGATGGATGCAACTGGAATGGTTGGCATCAAGGCAAAGAGAAAACAGTTTGAGTGACAGTCTTTTACCTCAGCAAGTTGCATAAACAAGGCACACAGAGAGAAACAGTTTGAGAAGGAACATGCAGAGCCATGTTTCACAAGACTGCTAACACTGATTTTCATGAACACTGGCCCACAGGTCATTGTTGGAGCAGTAAGGAGCTACATCATGAGACTGGACTACAAACTGCAGACTCCTCCATGGGGATCTGTGACCCTTCCAGGAGCTGTGCAAGCAGGAGGGACAGTCCAGCCTGCCCTGTTCTCCTGACTGGCACCCCAGCCCAAGGCTGGGTTCCCTCCCTAGTGGGACACGCTAGGAAAATCACAAAAGACAGGTTCCTCTTGCTAGGCCCAGCAGGGGACACAGTGACACGCCATGGGACCTGTGAGGCTGGACTGCTGCTGCCACATCCCAGCCACCTGCACTGTGGGACAGCCCTCACCTGTGCTTCTCCCCTTTGTGTACTCATCTTCTGGCCCCTGGCTCACTCCAACATGGGCTATTTGGAGAGCAGAGCTCACAGCTCCCTAAATAAGGAGCCCCACAGAGCACCAGACTGACTCCCAGCTCCAGGATGCTGGTTGTATTCAGGGGATTCTGCAGGGCTCACAGGCTCCCTGGGCCTTGGCAATTTGCTGCAGTGTCTGCACAGATACCACTGCTGGGACTGAGCAGGGACTGAGCCCTGGCCAGGTGTGTTGGGTGAGGAAGGGGCTAAAAGGCAGCCAAGGCTGTATCAGCTCTGCTGCATCCTGTGGCACCAGGCCTGTTCCAAGTGGTGCAGGCACAGTGATTAAACCCATCCCAGCCTGGAGCTGTCACATCCCACACCAGGCCCCGGGAGAACGTGTGAATGTGTGTTTGCAGCCCAGACTGACAAACAACTGAGAGTTGCATTTACATAATGTCTCCTGAAAAGTGTAGTTTTTCCTGGTAAGTCTTAGCGAGGCAGCCAGCACAGGCTGCTGGGGCACAGGGCTGCAGCTCTGCCTTTTGGGACACGTTTCCCAGGTAAAAGCAGGAGCAACAGCGAGTCCTGAGTGGAAACACTGCTGGTGCTTTCCATGCTCTGAGCAAGGCCTGTATTTGTACAGGAATAAGGTATTAAAAGAGTAGAAATCCTGAAGCTGCAAGTAGAACACGAGGAAAATCACAATTGAGATTGGAATTAAGCAAGATTAGAGCAACAGGTCTTCAGTGAGGGGGGAGAAAGGAATTTCAGGGACATGAAGGCAGGGGTTAACCATAGAATCATGGAAATGTTTGGGTTGAAAGGAATCTTAAATGACCTCATCTCATTCCATCCCCTGCCATGGGCATGGGCAAAGACATCTGTCACTATCCCAGGTTGCTCCAAGCCCTGTCCAACCTGGCCCTGGACACTTCCAGGGATGGGGGAAGAAGGATGCACTGAGGTGAGGCAGGATGTGCAGTGAGGCTGAGCAGGAATGCTGGATGTGAGGGAGTGCCTGGCACAGGGATGTTGGAAGAGGGAGGCTACAAGACAGGGCATGTTAGGTATTGTATTATATACCTAAACATAGATATATCTCATATCTACTGGGAATCTGTGAGCACTGGGATGGGCTCTGGCAAAGTTCTGTGGGTTCCTGCAGGGGACAGGGACAGGTCAGGGAGGGGTGTTACTGCTGCCCAGGAGATGGGCAAAGCTCAGGAGCTGGAGGAGCAAGACATGCTGTGGTGGCAGACACTGCAGCACAGAAGACAGTGATGCTTCAGGGGGTGTTGGTTGTCACCGAGGTCCGGAGGACACGCTCGGGCACCTGACAGCGTGCAGGGCTGAGAGCAGGGCAGGGATCAGGGGCGGGGGGATCAGGAGCTGCCCTGCCCACACACACATGCCCACCCTGCCCAGAGCCCTCCCCAAGCCCCGAGTGAGCAGGAGCACGAACCGAGCAGTGAGCGGCCCCCCAGGGCCGGGGGGGGCCCCCGGTACGTACTGTGGCCACTGGTGTAGTGCTGCAGCTTGTCCGTGTACTCCGAGTCAGCCCGCTCGAAGCCCCGTCTTCTGGAAGGGAAGGGAGACCTGAGCACAGCATGGGCCCCTTGGGGCTGGGGCTGCGCTGTGGGGACACCTGTGTCCCCTCCCTGCCATGCCCTGTCCCCAGTGCCCCACCCTGGGTGCCTCAGGCTGCCCTACCTGCTGCACACGATGCCGATGACCACCACGGCGATGAGGAACACCAGCCCCGCCGCCGAGGAGCCGATGATGAGCGGCAGCTTCTCCTGCACACTGGTCTGGTACTCGGCTGGCACAGGGGAAAGGGAACAGGTTACTGTGGCACAGGATGTGCCATCCCCCACAAAGTCACTGAGGTCAGAGCCCTGAGCATGGGCCATGTCTGACTCCTGGCATGGCTTTGGTCTTGGACAGCCGGGACTCCCCTCTGGCCAGGGGATGTGTCCCAGAAGGAAGGGTGGATGGAGCTATTCCTTTTGGGAGGAAGGTTTAGTGCTGTGGACGTGTGCTGTGCCTTGTCCTTGGCCCCAGGGCCAGAAAACTGGCTTGGTCTGTTTTATTTAGCAGCACAAATTTAGAAAAGTGAGACATGGCTCTGTGTTTGTCATCAGCAGCTGCACAGGTAGAAAACATAAATTTTGCTTCCGCTACATCCAGCTGAGCAGACACATCCTCACAACAGAAAGGCCGGGCAGAAACTGAGGCCTTCCCTGCATGGAAGAAGCACCAGGCCTCTCTCTGGGTCTTGAATGTGGTTTCTCAACACACCCTTGAAGGGACTGACAGCAAGGGGACCAGCTGCTTGTCTATCTCCACATCTCTCTAGACCCTGAGTCACCTTTACAGAGCAGCTGCAGACTCACCTTCAGTCATGGTTTGGAAATACATCTTCCCACTGTAGCGGCCGTAGCCGGCCACGGTGCGCGCCCGCACCTGGAACACGTAGATGGTGCCAGCCTTGAGGTTCTGCACTGCCACAGTGTTGGTGGGGCTCTTCACTGTGGTCGAGTTCAACTCACTCAGATCCTGCCAAGAAAAAACAAATCCATCATCAGAAAAACCAGTCCAGACATTGGGCTTCTGAAAGGAGGAAGGGCAGGAGACCAGGGTGGAGAGACCATCAGGGTCTGAACAAAGAGGTCCTTCCCCCTGGCAGGGAGACACAGACTCAGGGATGTGAGTATGGATATCCCTGAGCTACTCATCACGCCCAGGGAAGGCTCTAGAGAAGAGAGTAGCTACAAAACTCACATTGCTTCTCTAAGCCTTGAGGTCAATGGAGATGGGAAGGTGGGAACTTCTTCCCTCTTCTGTGCTTTTCTCTTAGCACTTTCCTCCTCCCCCTACCCCTCCTGCTGTGCCTTAGCCAGCCTCAGTACAGTCCACCTGCTCTTCCCCAACTCCCATCTCCCTTTGCCAGGAGGTGAAGCCCACCTGAACACTGGGCTATGGACCTCAGGAGAAGTTCTGCTTGCACCCCACTGCCCAGAGCCTGCTTCTCCAGGGGCCATGGCCAAGTTTCCAAGGCTGGGGACCCCAAGAGCACATTTCAAAGTGATAATGAGACTATATCCAAACTTTTGTTCTGCCCCTTGTCTCCAGTTTTGTAGCTGAGGACTGGATGGACAGGATTTCCTCACACAAGGGAACAGGTAGTCTCTGTCCCCCAAGGACATGGAGTCAACAAGGGATGATGACAGAGGGTCCTGAACATGGCCAGAGACAGTGGCTGGGAGCCTGGCTGCCATGAAGTCCCAAAAGTCAGAGCAAAACAGCAATGCCAACAGCACAATGCTTCTGGAAAACAGCTCTTAGGAAAGTCCAGCTGTGAGCAAGCACTGAGAAATGGAGGTGCAGGCACAGATTTTGGAATCCAGTGGCTGAAGTGACACTGAAGGTGCTCATCCATCCTGGCTGCCCTGGCAGATCACCAGATGCAACAGAGGAGTGGCAGCTCAAAATCTGAGCTGGCAAGTTCCCAGAGAGTCCCTGACTTCAAGTCACTGCACTGGACGCCCCTGCATCCTCAGTGAGGAGGGGTCACCTTGTGAGACTCTGACAGGGACTGGCAGAAAGTGAAACAGACATGAGGTTTGGGGAACTCCCTAAGTGTGACTGAGGGTGTGACCAAGGGACTGACCTCTGTTCCAGCTCTGAAATGACATGGAGATGGAGATGGATGCATGGAGACATTTCTGCTTTTCCCATGGGAACAAGAGATCAGTGTGAAACTCCCAGAAAAGAGAAAGCACCTCTAACCAACTTATGCAGTAAAGTACTGATGGACAGAGGGTAATGAAGGGGCAATCAGGCAGAAGGAAGATCCCACAGAATCATTAAGGGCAGAAAATTCCTTCAAAATCATCAAGTCCAACCTTTGATTGATGCCCACCTGTCACCAGCCCAGAGCACTGAGTGCCATGTCCAGTGTTTCCTGAACACTTCTGGGGTGGGGGCTCCACAACATCCTTGGGCAGCCCCTTCTAATGTCTGAGCACCCATTCCATGAAGAAATTCTTCCTGCTGTCCAACCTGAACCTCCCCTGGCACACCTTGAGACTATGTCCTCTTGTCCTGTTGCTTTTTCCCCAGAGGAAGAGACTGACACCCACCTGGCTGTATCTTCCTGTCAGGGATCTCGTGGTCATAGAATCATGGAACAGCTTCAGTTGGAAGGGGACCTTAAAGTTCATCCAGTTCCACCCCCTGCCACAGACAGGGACACCTCTCACTAGGCAAAGTGTCCAGCCTGGCCTTGGACACTTCCAGGGATCCAGGGGCAACCACAGCTTCTCTGTGCAGCCTGTGCCAGGGCCTCCCCTCACCATCCAAGCTGGCCTTGAATGGAGTGAATTTTGTGTCTCAAGCTGTTGGCTGAGCAGCGCTCTGGTGTGGTGGGTGGTAAGAGAGGGGCCTGTCAGGACTGTGCTTCTTCAAGTGTGTGGCCAAACCCAAGGAATGGAGATGCTGATGGCAAATCCCTCTGCAGGGAATGCAGAGGAGCTCTGTGTTACATGTAGGGGCATGGAGGAATATGAGAAGGAGGAATCGCTTTAGATTGAAGGAGAGCAGGGCAAGATGAGATATTGGCGAGAAATTTCTCTCTGTGATGAGGCCCTGGCACAGGGTGCCCAGAGCAGCTGTGGCTGCCCCTGGATCCCTGGCAGTGTCCAAGGCCAGGCTGGATGGGGTTTGGAGCACCCTGGGCTATGGAAGGTGTCCCTGCCATGGCAGGGGTGGAATGAGATGGGCTTTGAGTCCCTTCCAGCCCAACCACCCTATGATTCTGTGAAATACCTGGGAGATCTCCACTATTAACACTGTTCAGGAACACTTTTCCCTTCTAAAAACTACAGTATCTGTTTTATGCATCTGGACTTGGTGCTGAAGGTTTCTGATTGTCACTGGGGTCTCTGGTAATTGGACTGACGGCAGTGAAAAGCTCAAGTACAGATACACACACCCCAAGGAAAAATGAGCACACAGAAAACCCATGGCCTCGTTTGTCTGATCAGGCTCAGCACTCCCTTGGACCTTTCCCAGGCAGTTGAGGAGAGAAATAGGTCAGGAAATGTTTACAGTTTTAGAGCTCAAGGGCTTGGATGAATCCTCCCAGGCCCTTGGAGGGCACTAACAACACAGTTGTTTAAAAATCATTTGTCCAACTCTTTTGGAGAACCTTATCCCTGCTCCTGGAGGACTTTAAATGGAATGTAATGGCCAAGCCTACAAGGTGGTTGATAGCCTGGGAAATTGATGTCTGCCTGGCTGAGGAAGGTGTGCTGGTGATGTGCTCTCCTCTAAACCCAGACCACAAGTAAATACCATTTACACCTCTCCACCCTCCCTTATCAAACCTGTTCTTCCTCCTTGGTATCACCTGTCCAGAACCTGCACATTCACCTGAAACACTTCTCCCGTTTCACCTCTCTGGGCTCCTCTAGCCAAGTGCATCCCAGAATTTAAAGCCCAAGTCCAAGCAGAGTTTGTGGTGTTTGGGGGCTTTTCCCCTGCTGATTTTCTTTTGAGTTTGGACATTCTAATTCAAAATAACACACTGGTTTGATTTTGAGTCTTTATCTGATTCTCCCTCCCATGAGCTAAACTGAAGCTAAAACCAAAGTCTGATCAATAAAGAAAGAGTCTCTTGAAACATGGGTAGGCTGCGAGACACCAAAAGGATTTACAAAAATTGCTTCTAAAAAGTTGCATTTAAAAAAAAAGAAAATTGAAAATGAAAAAGCCAAGAAAAAAATGTCAACTGACAGAATTTGGCAGAGTTCCTATGAGCCTGCACAGTGACATCTGCCATGGCCCTGGGGGCAAACACAGCAGGACACCAGGGCCCGGTGCCAAACCATCACACAGCTGCATTTCGGGATGCCCACATGTGGGAGCAGGGCCCTGCCAGCCACACTGGGGCTGCAGCTGTGGCATCCCCAGCACCTGGGCTCTCATAGGGATCCCCCCCTTGTGGGGGCAGCCCAAGAAGATTTGTGCCCCCAGCCAGGCATCCCATCAAGTGGGACAAGGAGAAATGGCCTCAAGTTGTGCCAAGGGAAGTGCAAGCTAGATATGAGGAAACATTTCTTCATTAAAAGGGTTTTCAGGCATTGGCACAGGCTGCCCAGGGCAGTAGTGGAGTCCCCATGCCTGGAAGTGCTCAAAAAACGAGATGCTGCACTTGGCAATGTAGCTTGGTGAAGGTTGGGTTGACTGATCTTGGAGGGCTTTTCTAACTTTAATTATCCTCTGAGTGTTTGAATGCCTGTCCCAACCCAGTCCTGGACAGTGCCCAGTCCCAGTGTGGCCCTGGGCAGGGACTGGAACTGCAGGCAGGCTATGCCAGGGCTCCCTGGCAGGGTTTCCTCTCCATGTCCTTGAACTCCCAGTTTTCTTGGGACAAAGACCCCTCCAAGGGTTTGGGCAGCACTGGCTGAAGGGACAGCCCCATCTCAGGAGAGATGAGAAACACCAGGCAGCAGCTTTGGCTCCAGGCTCGGGGATTGTGGTGTCCTGCACTGCAGGACAGACTCTGAAGTCAGACAATCACAGAAGCCCTGGATTGGGTTGGAAGGGACCTTACAGACCATCCTTTTCCAACCCCCTGACATGGGCAGGGATGTCCCCTGAGTCAGCCTGGCAGCAGCACCTCCAGCATCTGTGGGCCAAGCCCTGGGGACATCTTGTCCTGGGGTGCTGGGCTCTGACCAGGAGAGCTCTGCTTCTACCTCCACTTCCACATCCACCTTCACAGGTCCTCTCCCCCACCCTTCATGTCCCAGCCAGCCTATGCCCCTACTCCAGCCCTGGCTGGAGACATCAAAGGGCTCCTTTGCCTCTAAAGTCTTGCATTGGTGAACAAATTGGGCTGAATGTCTTCAAACAACTACAGAATGGATGACTTTGAGCATCATCAAACCCAATCATTTTGCATAAGGAGGAGGGCCAATTGCTCTTTGCTGTGTCTGATACTGCAGTGGGTCTCCAGTTCCCACACTCCAGGATGAGTTTGGCAACTTTGGATAAAAACTGCTACACCCTTTCTAAATGAAGACAACACAGACTTTTTAAATAAGACAAACACTGGAAGGTACCTCTTGGAAGTGAAAAAACAACACATTAAAGTGAGGGCTACAGAGAGCAGCCATGTCAGGCAGTGTTTGTGCAACAATCTGCACAGATTTGCTCCAACTCCACGTGAAAGAAACTCATAATGTTGCCTTTGTACAGGCATTTTTAATGGCATCTAAAAATGGCAGTGTTATAAATAATCTGTGAAAGGGAAACAAAAATACACCTTTGTTTCAGGTATTGTGAACAGTGCTTTTCTGTCAACACTAAATAAATTCTTCTATTTTTTTAATTTAATGTCTGTATATAGAAGAGAATCCATTAAAAATGAAGAGTCAAGGTGCTTTTGATACACAATGTGTATGGTGCTATTCTTCATTTGAGCTGTTTGCATGAAAATAAAATATAATTTTCTACTGGGGGAAAAAAAATTCAACCAGAAAAAACTTAACCAGCTCTAGAGATCTTTGCTGAGCATTCAGAAGCATATGGGGCAGTTTGTAATGAAATATTTGTAAGGAAATCACCTCTGCACAGACTGGCAGTGCAGTGAGGACACACCTGGGAATGTGCCACACACCACATCCAACTGCTGGATGGATGGGAAGCAGGAGAGGAGCACAGCAGGGCCAAAGCCCTGGCCAGGGTGCCCACAGAAGCTGTGGCTGCCCCTGGATCCCTGGCAGTGCCCAAGGCCAGGATGGGTGGAAGGTGTCCCTGCCCATGGCAGGGGGTGGCACTGGAGGAGCTTTAAGGTCCCTCCAACCCAAACCATTCTGGGATGCTTCCATGGTTCTTTGAAACCAGGACAGGGAGAACCTGAGCCCAGCTGTGCCCTCTGTGCCAGGCTTAGTGCTCCATGAACAGTCCTGCCTGAGAGTGGGGCCACTTGTCCCCATCATCAGGGACAGGCTGTGCCCTGACTCTGACAATGGGACAGGCAGATGTGGCTGCCTGCAAAGACTGGCCACCAGCAGCAGCACTGTTTTTTAGACAAAAATTCCCTTTATTTACAGCCTTCCTCAGAAAACAGAGGAGAGGGAAGAAAGAAAGAGAGTGAGAGATTAAGATAAAGTAAGAAGAGGAGAATGTACTCCCTGAGATCTTCTGCCTCTACATTGAAGGTCCCCAGGGAAAGGACCCCTCTTGCTTCCCAGATCTGTCTTGTTATCTACTCATCCATCCTGCCACGTATTCTGGGATAATTTCCAAGGGTCAAAATAAATGGCTGTGATTTATGCAATATAGGTCAGGACCTATTTAACAGCTTACAAAGGAGCCCCCCCTCCTCCCCATTCTCCCTCTGGCTCTTGGTGATGAGAAAATAGGTCACAGGCAGGCAGTGGGGGGGATTAATCATTTCTTCCGGCAACTGCTGGGAAAAATATTTTCAGTTCCATTTAATCATAAAGCTTTTTAATTAGTTAGTTTGCAATTTATAACGTATAGTTTATAAGCTCTTGTGCAAGGGGGCAGATTCCTGGAAGGAGAAGTCTCCTGCTCCCCATCTCCCCTGGGCTGCACAGATGAAGTTCAGCCTGCAAGGGCCTGGGACCAACCTCCACATGGTCCTCAGGTGTCTGAGCAGCCACTGGTGGGATGGACACCCCAGCACAGTCCAGATGAAATTCCTCTGTCTGCCTGGACAGGGAGCTTATGGAAGGAGCAGGTTCCTCAGAGAAGACAGGGCCAGAGCTGCCTGAGCCCTTCACACTGACTCCATAGTGCAGCATGAGCCCTCCATGGGAGCATGGGACACCTTCTCCCTGTACAACATCTGGGCTCAGGATGCTGAAGGGATGCCGAGCACACCTTTGGGGTAGATGCACCCATGGACAGCACTCCAGAAAATCTCCAGGACCGGACACCCACTGAGTGTACGCCAGCCTGGGACTGGATGTTCCCTGTCATTCCCATTTCCTTCTGATGCCACGGTACACAAAAAGGAAAAACAGACCCTGGACCCTGGCTACCCTGCCCTCCCTGCAATGGGTCCACTTGCCACCAGTTCTGTGGAGGTGACAGGAGAAGCTCCTGAATGACCAGTGGATTTTCTACACTTGGGCCTCTGGAATCATCACTGGACCCCAAGGATTGATGGCCACTGTCAGCCATGTGACCAGTAAGAGAAGTTTCCTACTTAACAACCACTGTACGCCCTTAAATAAAATCTGCCCCCCTCCTCTCCCCAAAAGCTGTGAGTGACCCCTGTGCAGGTCCCTCAGTACCTTCTCGTAGTACTGCAGCTCATAGTCCAGGATGACTCCGTTGGGCTGGTCGGGCTGGGACCAGGACAGGGTGATGCTGTCCACGGTGCGGCTCACCTGGTGCATGATGGACACGGCAGAAGGGGCTGCAAGAGAGAGAGGGGGGACAGACAGTCAGACACTTGCACAGGTAGGACCCTCAACATGCACAAGGTGGGCAGGACAGTTATTGTTGTTTGGAGCTTTGGAATTCACCTCCTGCACTGGGAGAGCTTACAAGCAGAGGTCAGGGGATCTTGGATTTTGCTGTTTGTAGAGAGCAGTGAGGGGAGGAAAAAAATGGTTCTGCTGAACTGGTGGTTAGAAAACATGTAGGACAGTGCCTCAAGCAGGAAAGTGGAAAAAGGAGCACAGGTTGGAGCAGGCACAGCACTGTTCCATCGCAAAGAGCCCCACCAGCCCCACAGCATGCACTCCTCGCTGCCTGCCATGGGGAAATGGGTGGTTTTTACTTTTCCATTCGCTCAGAGCAGCTTCCCAGAGCTCGGGCCGGCTGGGGCTGCACGCTGCGCATGCCAATCACGGGAGGCGCATCCAGCGCTGAGCAGGCAGCACAAAGCTGACCTGACACGCTGACAATGGAGAGCAGCCCGGCCCGGCCCCGCTCCTCGCAGCGAGCACAAAGGGCCCCGCTGGCCCTCACACACCCGGGCCGCTCCCGCTGCCGGGACCCTAGGCCGGGAAAGCCGCCCCGGGAGCTGGGCTGGCAGGCTGGCAGCCCCATGGGCAGGGATCGGAGCGGGGAACTGGGCTGGCAGCCCCACGGACAGGGACCGGAGCTGGGCTGGCAGCCCCACGGGCAGGGACCGGAGCGGGACTGGCAGGCCCTCAAGGAAGGGACCGGAGCTGGGAGCTGCGGACGCCCTGGGAAACCCTGTGAGCGGCCCTGGCCCGGCGGGTTGGGGAGCAGGGTGAGCCAACAGCCCGGGCTGCCTCAGTCCTGAGGGGCAGGAAACTCCTCGGAGCCTGCAGCTTCTCCTGAGGGCAGCTCCCATCTCTGCTCTGTGAGCAGGGACAGCTCCCAGGGAACGGCTGGAGCTCTGCCGGGTCAGGGATAGGTTGGATATCAGGGCAAGGCTCTTCCCCCAGAGGGTGCAGGCACTGCCCAAGCTCCCCAGGGAATGGGCACGGCCCCGAGGCTGCCAGAGCTCCAGGAGCGCTCAGACAACACTCTCAGGGATGCACCAGTGGGATTGCTGGGGTGTCTGTGCAGGGCCAGGAGTGGGACTCGATGACCCCTGTGGGGATATTCTCTGATTCCAGGTGCTGACAGCAGAGCAGCAACACCCCCACCCCTGCTGCAGGGCTGACACCCACAGCTGCCTGCGCTGGCTCCTCTCCCCCATCCCAGAGCGGTGAGAGGAGCCCTCCCTGTGCCCTGCTTGCTGCTGGCACTGCCAGCACATCCTCCTCAGTGCAGGGCTACCCCAGACCTGCCCTAGTGCCAGCCCAGCCCTGGAGAGAGAGCTCGAGCTGCAGTCAGCGTTAGCCCTGGCACAGCTGCCAGCACAGGCTCACCACTGCAGCAGCTGCAGGGCACAGGAGAAGCCTCAGGGCTAGGACAGGACTGGAGAGTGGTAGCATGAAAGTTTTCCCATCACTTGCATGCCAGGCCAAATGGATGCAGAGTGGTTTGCACTCAGATGGGCTTTTCCCAAGTCCAACCCTTACAATATTTCATGGAAGAACAACTCATTTGGCAGCTCTGAGAAACAGCCTGGAGGAGCAGCACCCAGAGGAAGGCACCTCTCACCCATCTCTAGGCTGGCTCCCGCTGGCATCAGGGGCAGTGACAGGAGCTGTGCCAGCTGGGACTGCAGTGGCAGGACCACGGTGCTTGGACAAGCACAGCCCCAGCATGTTCCTGCACATCACAATAAATTACCACTGAGCAGCTCCTCTCCAACACACCAACAAAAGCCATTTTTCTGGTCCACCATCTGCCTCTTTCCTGCTGCTTTTCTGACTCAGCACCACAGTTCCCAGGATGCTCAATGTCTGGGTGCCAAGGGGCTGGGTTTGGCAAACACAAGACCTGCATCACACTGCTGCACCACTGTCCTTCACCTACCTGGGTTCCCTCACTCCTGAAGGAAGGCGTGATGTGGATTAGCCTCAGCAGTGTTGTTGAGCTCCAGTTTTGTCCAGGAGAACAAAACTAGAAGGACAGCAGAGAACTTCATCCCTGCAAGTGTCCCAGGCCAGGCTGGATGGGGCTTGGAGCAACCTGGTCTGGTGGAAGGTGTCCCTGCCCATGGCAGGGGGTGGGATGAGATAATCTTTAAAGGCCCTTCCAACCCAAACCATGCCATGATTCCAACAGATGCTGAGGCCACTCCTTCCATCCATTTCTGCTTGAGCAAAGCCCCATTACCCAACAGTCTGAAACCCTCTGTGTCACCTCAGTCCTCCCCTCACTCCGTGGCACTGCTCCCCTCCCAGCTTGACACCCCCATCCCACTGCTTCAGGCCACATCTTTCCATACTCCTGGGAAGAGTTTCTCACGCTGTGTGAAGATAAAACACAGGTAATGTTTCTGGAGCCTGTCAGCTCTTGCCAGAGCACACTGCTTCCTTGTTCAAACAGATTCTGTAGGACATCTGCAATTTTCAAGACAAACATCTCTGTCTCTGGAGACCAGGCTCAGAAGGAAGATGTGACTGTGCTGCGGATGCCCTGTGGCAGGGATGGCACTGGACTGAGGGAAGCACACAGCCCACAGTGTCTGTGCCAACTGCTCTGGGAACTGATCCCACATTACACACTGGGCTTTTCCAGGACAGGGGCCATGTACAGGTAGAGCTGTCCCACCACAACACCAGGATGTGGCAACATCCCATGATTCAGGCACAGGTTCAGTGGCCTTGCAGCTGGAGAAGCTCCTCAGCTCCAGGTTCCTCCTGGTAGGAGTGAGGTCTCTGGGATGTTCTTCCAGTTCCATGCACTGCACCCCAGCCTGGGAGTACAGGACCTCTCCAGGGCATCTCCTGCCTCTCCTGAGGGAGCTGTACCAGACAACAGCTACAGCAGGACGTGTGTGACTCATGTGCTGCTGGTACCTGGTGAACCTGCTCTCGTTTGGCTCAGCAAAAGACCCAAATGGATGAGGTGGGGCTCATGGAAGGAGCTTAATGAGGCAAATGTGCTGCATGGTGGGAGGAGGCAGGGGAGATGAATGACTACAGCAACCTCAGAGCCTTTCCTGCACCTGGGGCAAGGGAGGGCTCTGGAAGAGCAGGAACCTCCCCAGTGCGTGTCCTCAGTAACTGCTGCTCTTATCAGGACACCAGGGGAGTGCACAGCAATGAAACCACAGCAAGGCCCAGCTCAGAAGTGACCTCTGGAGGTTTCTGGTCCCACGGCTGGCAGACTAATTTCAAAATCAGATCATTTTGCTCAGGACTGTGTCCAGATGAGACCTAGTGAGTCTGATCCCCATGGATGGGGCTCCCACAGGCTCTGAGCAGCACCCCCAGCTGCCTTGCTCTTAGGGGCAGAAACTTTCCCTCACATTCCACTGGGATTTTGCTGGTTGTGCCTTGTGGATGTTGCCACTGTTCTCCCCCTCGATGCCCCTCAGCCTCCTCCTCTCCAGGCTGATCAGACCCAGCCCTCAGCTGCCCTCACCTTGGATGCTCCAGCCCCAGCCTCAGGGTAACCTCCTTGTCCTGCTGGACCTGCTCCAGTTTGTCCAGGAGTGTGACACTGGGAGCCCCGGAAGATGAAGGAGCCCAGATGTGGCCCTGAGACTGCTGAGCAGATGGAAACAATCAATCCCTCTCCTGGACTTTTTGCTAACTCTGCAGTGCCACAAAACATGGTCCTTTGTCACACCCTTTATGCCAGGTGAGGGCCTGGGGTACACAGAGAGGCTCCCAGGCCTGTGAATAGGGATGGGCTGGCACTGGATATGTGAGCTTGAAACCAGTTTAGAGGAGCCAGCCAGACTCAGAGTGACTTTCCCAGGTCCAGTCAGCAGGAATGGCTTCAGCTGGATTCTGACACGATGCCCAGGCAGCTGACTGTACCCTGTGACACACAGAGGAGACCAGATATGGAGAGTCCCCACTCTCAGAGCCTTGATCTCCCTGTGCTGTCACCATGAAGGTGTGAACAGAGGTGGATTTATCCCGATGGGGTATCCAGGGGTAGGTGTGTCCCAAAAGTGCAAAAAACAGACCTGCCTTCATTCCACAGCTGATGGCAACACTGATCCTGACTGAATCCCTTAACCTCAATGTTATTTGATTGCACAGATTTCACAGAATATTTTGAGTTGGAAAGGATCCACAAAGATCACGGAGTCCATCTCTGAAGTGAATGGTCCATACGGGGATCAAACCCACACCCCTGGCATTATCAGCACAAGGCACTGAGGCAAACCCAACCACTGCAGTCCTTGAAAGGCACTTTCTGCATCCTCTTGATCAGGGATGGCCTCAGATTCCTCTCACTGCAATGCTGTGGCTTCCTTGAATTGCTGGAGAAACAAACCACACTGAAGCCACCAGTGGAGTGTAAAACAAGCTTAATGAAAATCCACTAATGTACAAAGCCAACATGCCCCACATGCTGACCCCACAGGAGGGATGCCAGTGACACTTCTGTGGTCACCACCCCGAGCCCTGCATGGCCACACAACGCTGCTCACAGCCAGACCCCTGCCCAGGCTGGGCATTTGGCAGTTTATCTCAACCCAGGGAGCAGAGCAGAGTTCTGTGGCTGGGGCAGCTCTGCAGGATCAGTGTGGGGGTGCTTGCAGCTCTGCAGCACAGAGCACTGCCTGGGCTCAGGAACTGCAAACACTTGGGAAGGATGGGGGTCAGGAGGTCCCCTCATGCTCAAGTGTTGGCAGCAGAGCTGCATGGCCATCACCTCCCTGAAGGGATCACCCCTGAGTGATCCAGGGCTGGGCTGGCAGAACACCATCTGTGTCCTGGGCTGATCCCACAGCGTGGGCAGCAGCTCCGGGGAGGGGATTCTGCTCCTCTGCTTGGCTCTGGAGAGACCCCCCTGCAATTCTGCCTCCAGCTCTGGGGTCCCAGCACAGAAAGGATGTGGAGGAGTTGGAGCAAGACCAGAGGA